ATATAATCCTAACTTTACTAACTTTAATAAGTAAGGGTTATATTTATACTAAGTGTACTTAACTCTATATATAATACCCTACTATAAGTCTAGCCCTTTTTTATATTACCCTTACTACTAATCTTTTTAGATTATACTCTTTATTACTATTATTACTACTACCCTCTAGGCCTAACTACTAGAGTACCCTAGCCTTAAGCTAAAGGTAGTCTTAGAATACTAGGACTTCTTATACTTTATTTATACTATAACTTAGGTCTATTATAATACTAATAGTATTACTACTAAAGTAGCTACTAACTAGATTTAATCTAATAGTAATACTACTAACCTAATAGTAACTATTACTATTACTACCCCTACCCCTACCCTACTATACCCTTATACCTTTACTACTATTAATAATACTAGTATTATCTTTATTATCTTTACTATTATAACCCTAGGCTACCCCTTTACTTTAGCTAATTAAGCTTTACTCTTTAATATTCTTAAGGAGATTTATTATATTAACCACTAGCTCTCTTTACTAGTTAGTGTCTATACTACCCTTATTACTACTCTTACCCTAGCCCTAACCCCTAAGGAGGAGGAGGAGGAGGAGGAGGAGACTAAAGATAATAAGGAGTTTAGTAATACTAAAGAGTAATCCTAGCTTATAGTTAATAAGGGCCTAGGTTAGTCCTAATTACTAGAAATTTTTTCTTTTATATATTATACTAAAGTAAGCCCTAGTAATTTATAGTATAATTATAATATAGTCTTAGTCTAGTCTAATAGTAGTAGTTTTTTAATAAATAAAAGTTATTTTATTAATACTTTATTTTACTTTTAGGCTAGTCTTACTCTATATAAGTCCTTTATTTAACTATTATATATATTAGTCTTTATATATTATATAGCCACTTTACTATTACTCTACTCTCCTTTAAGTAGTCTAGTACTTATAGTATATTATATTAGTCTTATATTAAAGGTAAACTAGGGACTATTCTATCTCTAATTACTATATAGTATAATAAAAAGTAGAATATATCCTTATTCTTATTAATATAGTAGTATATATTTAAGTTAAACCTAAGGACCTTCTTTTTAAAAAGAAAAGTATTTAGTTTTATCTTTTTTATCCTTATTTATATAATAATTAAACTAAAGTGCCTTAGTATATATAGTATTAAGTCTAAGTAGGACCTATATTAGGCCTAAAGTAGTTTATATATAAAGAAGGTAGTTAATTACTTTACTTTACTTTATTACTTAGTTTCTTTATATTCTTATTATAGTTCCTACTACTATATTACTTATTATTTAAGTATATACTAGTCCCCTAGTAAGGACCTATTAGGGGCCCTAGGGATATTTTTATATAGGTTTTAGAGTAAGAGGGGGGAGTGTGTTTTAGTAGTCCTCCTCCTTTAGTCTTATTATAGTATAAAAGAGATAACCTATATAGAGGTGTATTAGAGTTATACTATAGCTCTATTAGTCTCTTATTAATTTAGTATCCTACTTTTTTAAATAATAAAGTATAGGTTAATAAAGAGAACCCCTATCTCTACCTCTATATAGTACTTTAGAGTAGCTTTAAAGGCTCCCTTAGTAATCCTAAGGCACTATACTTAAAGGCTACTAAGGACTTAGACTAGGCCTATAGTGGCCCTAGTAGAAGGTAAGTACTATATTATAACTCTAAAAGTTATTATTAGTCTAATACTTCTAAAGTAGAGGTCTTTTACTTCTTTTCTTTAAGGGCCTTATAACTTTCTAATAGTAGTATATAGGGCCTAGATTACTATTTTAACCTTATTAAATACTATTTTAATTTATTTCCCCTATCTTAGGGTAGGGGTAAGGATTATACTTAATAACTATATTTAGTTAACTAATAAAACCATTATACTCTTAAGTGTAATTAGGCCTAAGTCTAGTATATAGTTATATTAATATATAAGCTTAAACTTTAGTATTAAGAAGTCTAGGTTATTATTTTAAGACTATTCTTTATAGATAGTCTAAGTCTTTACTATTATTACTTTAGTTTCTTTATAGTTCCTTCTAATATATAGGAGGTTTATATTATTAGTAAACCTAATAGTATATAGGCTTAAGACTAATTTAAAAGTAGTATATAAAGAGGATATAAAAAGGATAAAAAGGATAAGTAAAAGTAAAGAGCCTTATAGTACCCCTTACTTAACTACTTTTTATATTATTAACCTACTATTAATCTAAAGCTAGTTTACTTAATTATTAAAGAAGGATTAAATAATTTTAATAATCTATATTAAGAAGTTTAGTCTCTTTATCTCTTTTAAGAGTAGTTAATAGTTAATATTATTAAAGGCCCTAACTATATTTAGTTAAAAGAGTAATATAGTTTTATAGTAGGCCTATATTACCTTTACTAATTCTACTACTATAGATATTACTATCTCTATTAATCTCTATCTCTAGTTACCTATCTAGTCCTTAGGTAGGATCTAGTATGTCTCTACTATAGTTATAATCTAGGTTATAAGTATTTTCTTAAAAAGCTTTTCTATAGTATTAAGGAGAGTAATTAGTCTCTATCCCCCTACTATATAGAGCTTAACTAGGCTCTTTTTTAGCTTTTATAGGACTATTATAGTCCTAGCCTAGTATTATATATACTAAGTAATATCTAATCTCTAGAATAAGTTATATAGTCTAGTAAGTATAGTAAGGAGGGTTAGACTAAGGGCTTTTAGGAGACTATAGGGGACCCTATCTAGCCTTAGTGTATTCTAAGTAATATAGTTCTTAAAGGTATTATTAACCTCCTCTAGTATTATTTCTATGAGGATTTCTATAGTATCCTACTTATAGTTAAGTCTACCCTACGCCTTAGTTAGTTTAGTAGTAGTTCCTACTTTTATTAAGTTTAAAAAGAACTTCTTAACTAGTATATTAGCCTTCTCCTCTCTTTTTTAAACTAATAATCTATATTTAAACTAGTCTAGTATTAAAATTATATTTATAATATAGTCTATTATATTCTACTTAGCCTACCTAAACTATCTCTAAAGTAAGAATATATTATTAATTTAGTTAAAGTATATTCTTTATACTACTTATTATACTTTAGTTATAGTTTAAGTTTATATTTTATATAACTTAGTAGTAGTCTCTTAGTCTATTTAATTTCTTATCCTCTAGACTCTTCTCTATACTTCCTTAGTATAGCTTATAGCTTATTTTATTTCCTAAGTCCACTACTCTAACTACCTATTAAAGTTAATATTTATTATATATATACTTTTATATCCTATATTAATCCTTTATAATAAAAGTATATTCTATTATAGTTTTATATTATATACTATTAGATTTTAATTAACTAAGTTTAACTATAATGTTTTATATATATAGAATTTAAAAGTGTTCTTTAACCTTATTACTATTCTATAGAATATTCTACTTTCTTATTTAAATACTAAGGTTATATACTTTATTATAAGAAAGGTAATAAAGTAGACTAAGAAAATATATTATAACTTTATTTTTTAAGATAGTAACCTTATATAGGTTATATATTAATACTTTATATTAAGTATTAATATAAAGTTTAAATATAGTTAAATATATAATTAAGGAAGTTAGTCTTTTTTATATATAGAGTAATAAAGAATTAAACTAGTAGTTAACTATCTATAATACTAGTTATAAATATAGGTTTATAGGAAAATCTTAGATTTATATTAAAATTTAGATATTACTACCTTAACTAGTAAAAAACATTAGTACTTAGCTAGTTTCTTTTTATAGGGTAGACTTCCTTATAAAATAATTATTACTACCCACTACTAACATTTAAAATAACTATTAAGTACTATGTCCGTCACTATTGTGTCACACTACTACTAAATTACACTACTAGGGGTATCTACGCACTAGGAAATAGCTAAGTCTTATTTTCATTTTTAATATAAAAAAGCGAAACTAATCTATGCTAGTGTGTGTAGGGCTGGTTTATGCTTAATAAGTACTATTTTAAGACTGGCGAAACACCTATAATTCTATAGCATTACTTCTGCACCCATCTAAGCGATTAAATACCTCCACTGGAACTAGCACGCGGATTAGCATACGGGAGCGATTAGTAAGGCCTAGTAGATCTAGAGCTAGTATAAGGACTACACTATAGAGAGCACCATAAAGGATGCTCTAGAGATAGAAATAACAGTATATAATAAGCTAGCACAGTCGCTTAATATAATAGAAATAGATAACGACGATGTAGATAAGCTAGAGAAATTTATAAATAGGACTCTATATAAGATTATATTAAGTCCGCTTATATAGTGGAGTAGGGAGGAGTAGCGGACTAAATATCCACGGTTATATAAAATGGCTCTTAACGTGCTCTCGATTGCGCCTATGTTAGATAAAGTAGAGTGTGTCTTCTTAAGCACTTAGTGTACTATTTCGTTTAACCATGCACGTCTAGGGGCGGAGGCGATTAAGATGATAGAGTGCCTTAGAAGTTAGAAGAAGAATAAGCTAATTTTTAATATACATGTTTAGTAGCTTCGTTATACCTATATCCTACGTATAGAGGATTATAGATTAACATCTAGTAGCTACTTAATTACTATATTAGGCTTTTTCTAGGGATACTAGTGGAGTATATGATGTGGCGTGTGTGAGGGTGTAATGGATTTATATGTTCGTGAGGGAAACAACCAGCACACAGTGTTCCCACACCTACTAATAAGCTAATCAATCAGTATCAGTAACGCCACGAGTAATCAATCAGTTTTTAGTAAGGGTCTTATTAATTAGTACTGATTGTTAGGATGTCTGTGACATAGAATCGAAATACATAAGCATCCGAGTCTGGAGCAAACATAAAGAGCGACTGAAGTTAATTTCTTAAGCCAATTTAGCTTCTCTATATGCCATGGACCTATATCTCTCTCTATCCAACCCAGGCACGATAAATACAAAGAATATGCACCCCCGCCAAAGAATACATCCTGTCATTCAACGTAACGAATTGTACGACGGCGCTCCTTGTCCTTTTCATCTGCGTAGCCACCCATGGTATACATTTCTCTCGCAGGCGGATCGTGTGCCACAGGCAGCTGTGAGGCATTAAAAATAGGGCGGCTGAATCGGTTGTACGCAATGAACGTGTCCTGGTCGGCAGGGACAGCATTCACTGGTGTCGCGATTGTCCTAGACATACGACGCATCTCAACCGAGTCTTCTTTGATGGGTATGATGCCTAAGTACGTATAGATTAGGTTGAGCGCCGGGATGGACAAGCCGTGCACCACAATGGAGAAGAGAACCAGCCAGTAAACAACAGGCCCAGAAGCCCGGGCAAGATTGGTCTCTTCCTCATCGCCTTCGCCGAGTTTAGGAAACAGGTGCTTGCTGTGCTCGAGGTAGAAGACGGCGCCGGCGCCAATCGGTCCAAAGTAGCCCATAAACAAGGCTTCTTTCCAGTTTGTGCAGACTGCCGGCATGAGCTTATAGGTCATTAGGATGGCCGGGATGCGCCGGAATAGTATGACCAGGATGCCAAGAAGAACGAGGCGGCCATACGTGAGGCCAGTGCCGTCAGGATCGTTGAAGTCAGACCATGGTATGATGGTGCCAATGTACATGAAGCCGCCAAAGTTAAGTAGGACATCGATGCAAGAGTTAACCTCGTCATGGCGCTTCTCCGTTTCCTCGAGATACTCGCCGTCCCAGTTTAGCGCATTACCAGCGACGAAGCAGGCAAGCAAGTCGTCCGTGCCAATCGCCCCGCATGTGCCGACTAGGAAGAATCCGAGAGCGGCAGGGAAGAGGAGGTACGACTCGCTGTCGATCCACTTGCTGTGCTATATTAGTATTGCGCTGCAGTTGTGGCGGATAGATTAAGTACTTGCCACCTGAGTGCGTACTTGACGACTTTACAGGAGCCGAAGCCAACAACAGCGCCGTATGCGATGGAGAGGAGAACGATGTAGAGCCAAGTCTCAACAAGCCAATTCTTCATCGCCACGCCGACACCACCACCCAGCCTGCCGACCTCCTCCTCGGCGCGAGCGAGAATCATCTTGACTGCCTCGCCGCTAGCTTCCGCAACGGCGCCCGTCGCCGCTTCCTTCGTCCCAACGCCAGAACTGTCCGCGTGGCGGATCAGATACACGGCCAGGAGCAGAAACGGGAAGCCAAAGCCGTCGTTTGCGCCCGCCTCGGAGGAAATGATTTCGCGCAGCGGTCTGGCCACGTACTTGTCCGCAAACGGCCCCTTGGCAATTGCCTGCGACAGGATCGGGTCGGTGCAGGTGACGCAAGAGCCGATGACGAGGGCGGCCAGCAGCGTCACCTTGGGCACGCTGGCCAGTATACAGAGGGTGGTGCACAGCCACATGATGGTCATGATGGGCAGCAGACAGAGCGCCATCTCCTTCCACCGCACCCAGTTGTACTTGGCGGGCAGCTGGTATCCCGCAATGACAAGCTGCACACCGATCATGACGCGAGTCACACCCTAACGACGGTCAGTTGGTATGGTTTGCAAGTGATGGGAAGAATCTGGCGACAAACCAGCGTGATTGCATTAGTCTGCCCACTTTCCGCAGACCCCCATCGCTCGCTGTCGAGAAATCTTGCTGCTATAGGGCCTAGAATGACTCCAAGGGCCACGGCAGGCACTAGTGTAGTATAGTTGTCAGTTGAATTGATCCCATATGGTTCGTGTAGCACTTACGAGCTTCTCCCAGGTACCACGCTTGCTTGATCTTAACAGAGATGACGCCATAGAGAATGATAAATGAGCCTGAAAGCTTATCAGCAACATGTTCACAGCATAGAAGAGGAAAATACACCAACCTAGGACGCCCAGAACGATATTGAGCTCACTGATGTCGAGTGTCGGCATCTTGGCGAATATAGATGAATAATGTTGCGATAATAAAGATGGATTGGCAGTATTTCTCTTGTCCAGCAAGAAGAATGGCTGTGGGATCCGTTCCTATAAGATCGAGGTGTAAAAGATCGAAATGGGAATGGCGATTGAAAGACGAACAGAAAACCCAAAGACAGATATGGCAGAACAAAGGTAGACAGGGCCACCAAAGTAATCGTCGCGCTTAACACCACTAATTGCTCATATTCAATATCGGCTTGTCTGGTTCTGTCTCTGCCCTTTTGGCCGAGAATCGTTTCGCTGTTTTAAAAGGACCCAAGTAGAGAAGATGGAGAGCGGGGAGTGGTACTGAAGATGTAACTGGCTCCCGTCTGGTGTGGCTGCGGAGCGCCAGGCCCTAAAATAGTACCGCGTCGAGCATTTGGAAACTTGTAAGACACGGTCTGATCGGCTTTGGCAGAATTATGAACGGCAGAGCGTACCGAAACAAGAAGGAAGGGCAAAACATAGTAGTGTGACTTTAAAAACACACGGGGGTGGCAGGAGTTCGACTGTGCGGGGGTAGGGATTTATGTAATAACTTACCTGTGCCTCTCATAATGCTTCGTATAATACTAGTTGCTAATGGATGGTATTAGGATTGCCTTTAGCGTTTTTAACTCACTAGAAGCTGATGTGTAGAAGAGTAAGAGCAGCCTCGCTCTCAGTCTTGCAACAGAAAGGCAACTTCGCTTTCCAGAGTGAGAAGGGCAAACTACTAATGCTAAGCGTTCCAAAAAACCAAGGAAGCGATCAAAGGCATGTTTAGTCTAAGTCCAGGACACGGTGCCAGGGCGACGCCCACAAGGTTTAAGCATCTATCTACGGAGAGTACTGACAGTGCGCGATTTGCAAGCAATGGCGTCCAACAGGGTGGCGCAGATAAAATACACGTCTCCGCTGGCTATTAACGTACACTGTAAGAGGTTTCCAAAAGATAAACTGTGTAGGTGGTGCTGACGATAGACTCTTAGCGTGTCAGTTTTTGGAATGCCGCCAAGCAATGCCCAGACGCACTTGAAGCAAATACAGGTACAGTGGCAAAGGTTAGTGGCAATAGCCCACTGCTTAGCAAGAAGGGCTGGAAGTTATACGATAATGCTGCATTATCTGGGCTCCGGTCGCGATGCAAAGACAATTCTATGATGACGGTGGTGGTAGTGGTTCACGGTGAGCTGTGCGTAAGTCGCATTTGGCGTCGAAACAAGGTCGTCCGGGAACATGCGTTATGCTCGGGGGCGTTTATTTCCGCGGAGAATAGCAAGGGGCAGTAATGATAAAGTACATGGTCACTACAGTATGCGGCAATGTTCACTGGCAAGCCTTCACGTTTCTAAGCATTCAGCAAAATTCGGTAACCTCTCTGCCAGGCCCTACCTCAGGTTCCGCCACTGAGGCGAGCATGAGCTACTTCTAAGCGAGTTCACAGATACATTTTCCGAGATGCAAGTGTTTTAGCAAGGCGTCGGTATTGATACAAGGGCGTTACCCTTGATTGGTGAAAGAGAGGGGCCGACGACGGGGGTAGTTTGTTTTTTTTTCTGCGTCCTCGCTGGCCATAGGTTGCAGGCTCAGGGCAACGGAGCACGAGCGACTTTCTCTGACGATATTGCCCCAGCGCCCCTTGGAAGGCCAAGCGGAACGGGCGTGCGTGATGTTCTGGCTGCGCGTCCTTGCGTAACTAGTGCGATGAGTGCCTGAACTGAAACGTCGTGTCCCACCAACCAGGTCCAAAAAAATTAAGCATAAAGCGAAGCGAAAACCCGTGACACGTGGATCAGGCCAGCCGAGGAACACGGGAAGCATGAGCCAATCTAGCTCATCTAGCAGAGCTGGCCTGCATGCTCGCCCCTGGCTGGGAAAGGAGTAGAGTGAATTCGACAATATTCACCATTTCAAGGGGACGTAACTAGTATATCTCTCACGAAGCACCTCTCGCAACGGTGCTGATTTCCACTGGTCCTAGCTGTTGAAGTCCTCGAGATAGCAACTGCCCTTCGGCCGGGAAGGAAAGTCGGAATGTAAAGAAGTGACATGAACATGAATGAAATCGGAAGGATAGCGAATCAGTGCAGCTGAAAATTTAGCGATGGCTCGCTGTAGTGAATATGTGCGTACCAATAAATCAGGACGCCCCAGGAGGCTCCACAGCGCACGATGCCTTCTTGCACTGTCGCGAATTGTAGGCTGGCATACTTCGTACAAGGTTGGCGCTTGCCTTTCACAACTTTCATGGCCTAGAATCGGCCTGGCTAGCCAGTCTGTGTGGCGCCAACATTTGGGATCTTATTGTTCCATGGCCCGGGTCAGCTCATGGAACGTAGAATGTCACGCCTACCACCAGTCCAGCCCCTGGCTTAGGCCGCATCCGAAGCTGCGTTACGCCTGCTGAAACTGTTCGTCGTTCAAGTGATCTCCTTCTTCCTCAGCCAAGTATACATTTTCCTAATTCACTGTCGTGTATTTCGCTCGTACCAGACCGTTTCCGCCCTGGCCGTGTCCCAAGTTTAGCTCCGGCTCACGCAAATACTTGGAACAAAGCCACTAGTTGCACATTGGCCAGCCACACCCGCGATCCAGAAAATTGAGTAAACTGGAGAAGAGGAATATTGTGTGATCTTGATAGAGAGTGCCACATCCTGGCCATGTTTCGGTGTTTGACCTCTTTATAAGATGGATGCCCTCCCCCTAAGTGCTTCTTCTCTCACCTTTCTCTTTCTACCTTCAAGTCCGTTCACAAATTGACCACTTCTTATCATACCGCTTAGAGCAGATTTGGTCAGGTTCTGGACATATCTGCGCCACGTGAACAACACAAAAAAAAAAAACCGACGGTTTATCTAAGAGAAGCAAGCGAATTCAGTCACTCATTTCCTCTACACCCTGCTTCTACAGCGTAATTCTTGTCCATGGGTCAAGGAAAGCGGCAGCAGGAGGAGCAGCAGGAGCGTCTACAGGGTCACGTCTCTAGATAGGCGAATAAGCCCTTAACGGCGCCCGCGTATACTTTAAGCTACAGTGATATTAAAAAAGAGCTTTAAGTCGACTATAAGGTTAGCTTAACTTCTAAGGAGGCTAAGAACCGCCTAGAAATCTATAGGCGCAACGAGTTCAGTAAGTAGGAGGGCGTCTAGCCGCTTAAGATCTTAATTAAATAAATTACTAATGTATTAACTTTAGTACGTTAATTCCTTATGTATTACTGTCGAAAGCTTTAATCCTATTAATCTCTTATAGTTTAGTCTTTATTATATCCTTCTTATTAGTTCTAGTGGTTAGGTAGTGTGCTGATATGCATATAATAGAACCTAATAGGGGCCGACTTAGCCGTTTATTAATATTGCCTATTAAAACCCAACGACTATATACCGCTAGATAGGATAAGAGAGACAGTTAGACGACCTTACTAAATCTTAAGTTCTTTTTTATTTATAGTTAGGGGACGTATAGAAATACACTAAGTGGAGCCTAACTAGGGCCGAGTTAGCTATTTACTTACTATACGTGTTATTAAAACCTAACGTCTATATACTACTAGACTATAAAGTAGAACTAATTAGATAGCCCTTTATAACCTTAAGTTAATAAAAAGAAATATTTATATAAGGAGTAGGATACTAAATAATAAAGCCTAAAGAGAATTTAATAGCGAACGACCCTAGCTAACTAACTACCCTTCTAGGTCCTTATCCTCACTATAGTCGCCTCGTTTACTATCTAGTCCTAGATTAAAGGCGGTGTTATTACCGCCGTTATCGTCTTAAACATTATTATTAGATTCCTATAGGAGTTTAAGGCTACTAAGATAATAGATTCACTACACTCCCTTAGCTCCCTAACCACACAGGCCGTCCGCGCTAGCGCTAATCAGACTATTGTCACCACCGAGATTATGCCCAGCGACGTCGTCGAGCTTAAGACTAGTGACACCGTCCCTACTAACGTACGCCTCGTTAAGGCCGTTAACTTTAAGACTAATAAGGCCCTACTTACTAGCAAGTTACTATCTATCTATAAGGAGACAGCCACTATATTTATAGCCGACACGGGTCTAGGAGACCGCCTTAACGTCGTGTACTCGTCGTCGACTGTTACTAAGGGTCGCGCGGTTAGCGTTGTGTTTATAACGGGTATATTCACTAAGATTAGCCAGATTATAGTCGCACTCTATAGTAAGAGCTTACACTATTATAAGCCTAAGAAGAGGCGTGAGGACGGCTCTACTAGCTTCCACTACTAGGTTAAGGCCTAGGGTCTCACCTTCCTAGACGCTGTTAGCTACTTCCTAGGCGTTAATGTTAGTACGCCCCTCTAGTATAAACTCTCTAAGCTTACCCTACTACTGCTTAGCACTACTATTATCTATACTATTATTATCCTTAATACTAATAGCTTTAGTAATAGCTAGGAAGTTATTATCTATACTATCGCCACTAGCCTATCTATAATCCTAGCTTTACTTATTATTATCCTTACTATTACTATAGCTACTAGCACTAAGTGTATAGTTTAGCACTATATTATTATTTATAACCTTAAGTCCCTTAAGGCCCTTAGTGTAGTTTCTAGTAAGTGTATTATATCCCCCACCCCTAAGAATAACAGCTTAACTTACTACTAGATATTTACTCGAATAAGACTAGAACCCTTACTTAGGGTAATATAATTATTAAGAAGGCCTAGATTCCTAGCTAGGGCACCCTCTTAGTTAGTATAACTAGCGAGCTATTTAACCCTATAGTTAGTACTATTAGTCTAACGCCTAAATAGCTAAAAGATATTAAGTTTAGTACTAAGAACTCTAAAGGTAATACTATTAATACTATACAGCTTTCTATAAAAGATATAACTATCTATAAATATCTTAATATTGCCTCTCTTACTAACCTAGCTACTGTCTAGTAGGTTAAGGGCGAGTAGGAAGTCTATAGTAATCCTACTAAAATCACTATTTAAGTCTTTACTTTACACTT